CATCCTCTAGTGATCAGCTAGATCAGCTGAAGTCTGAGATCACATTTCAGAAAACATCTTTTTTTTTGGTGCTTTACTTGAGTGATCGTTTGGGGAGGTCAACAGTTTTCCGCTGAGCTAGTTCCCTCAATATTTTGAATGTGTTATTATACTGTTTTCTATCTCATTGCTCTGACTTTGGAAGCAACCTTGTCTTCTTTCCCATTCCCTTTGGAGAGAGTCTTTTTGCTTGATAATCTTTAGTGACGCTCTGCTGAATTCAGGTTTCAGTTTGTACTGATAGCTCAGTTGGTGAAGAATCGGCCTCCAACGCAGGTAGGCCCTGGTTGATTCCTGGGTCGGGAAGATCCCCTGGAGAAGGGGTAGGCTGCCCACTCCAAGATTCTGGCCTGGAGAATTCCATGGATGGTATAGTCCATGGGGTCTCAAAGAGTTGGGACACGACTGAGCAACTTTCACAATCTTATCTTAAAACTGAGATTTTCTTTAAAAATACAGTAACCTTTTCTTAGCAGTTTAATATATGTTTCATATTATTCCAAGATTTATAGTGAATAAATTTGGTTGATTCTCCTGGTTAGTGTTATCTTGACCTACTAATAGTCACTGTTTATTTTTACTGCAGAAAATCAGGTAGATAGCTATTATCTTGGTATTTGTTGATGTTTAGCGTCTGACTTTGACTCTTTGTGACCCCATGGACTGTAGCCCACCAGGCTCCTCTGTCCATGGGATTTCTTAGGCAAGAATACTGGAGTGGGTTGCCATTTCGTTCCCCAGAGAATCTTCCTAACCCAGGGATCAAACCCATGGCACCTGCATTGCTGGTGGATTCTTTACCACTGTGCCACAGGTAGCTATTAATTATATAATTAAGATATAATGATGCATTACATGTGTCATCATTATAGGTTTATGTGAAAACTTCTTAAGGTTTTATGTGAAAATTTCTTTTAATTCTTGGATCACAGTTCACATCTTGTCTTTATTGTCATCTATATTTTAAACTACAGACAACTCTGGTGTAGAGTCCTTTTGATAAATATAAAACTTTAAGAAGCAATAATAACAGTAGAAAAATAACCAAAGTTTACCAAAATAAAATGCCATTAATGTAATAAATTTCTCAGCTTCATTGTATAATAAGAAATCATTTAGGGAAATTTAAAAGACATTTAATATAAAGTTTGTCTATTTGGAATAAACCTTTCAAATAGTGACTCAAATTAACAAAAATTTTTGTTTCTAAGTGCATGTCTGTTTCTGCTTTGTAAATAACTTTGTATCTATCTTTTTTTTTGTATAAATGATATCTTAGCATATTTGTCTTTAACTTACTTAGTATGATAATGTCTAGGTTCATCTATGTTGTTGCAAAAGGCATTTTTTTTTTAATGGCTGAGTACTATTCCATTGTATATATGTACCATATCTTTATCCATTCATCTGTTGTGGACATTCAGGTTGCTTCCAAGTCTTGGCTGTTGTAAATAGTATTTTGGTGAATACTGGGGTGCATGGATCTTTTTGAATTTTACTCCCTTAGGAGTGGGACTGCTGGATCAGATGGTACAAAAGTAACTTTTGAGCAAGGGTAGTGGTGGTTGGTTTGGGCCTGGGCATTTGCTAATTAGCAAGATTTAAATAACAGCTTTTTCTAGAACAGCCCAGATGCAGGGAATGACAGAGGTGACTTTAGCACTGCTTCTTGAACTCTGTGAATCACCTGGGGATTTTCTTCGAGTGCAGGTGCTGATTCAGTGGTTCTGGGATGGGGCCTGGGATTCTGCATTTAAAGCAAGGCCCCTGTGATCTTGTTACAGCCAAGGACCACACTTTGAGTAGTGAGGGGTTACATGACATGAATCCGGTGTACACAGTACACTCCCTGATGTCTTAGTTTTGCATCCTTCCCCTTTGCTGTCCGGGGATGATGAGCTAAGCTCCTTTCTGAGCCTTTCCCATCATTTTACACGGGATCATAAATGCGGCTTACTGTGTGACTTCTCTTATTCCTCTTCTCTATCTGCCTTACTGAGTTCCCTCCTGGGTGTGAATGGGATCACGGCTCTTCAGTCCCTCCTCAATCCAGAGGGACCTTACCCCCTTCTCAGTTCATCCTGTTCCCTATGGTCCCCATACTTTGTAATCCAGCACTAGATGATCCTCACGTTTTCCCACGCTGCTTTTTCTTAAACTTTTTTTTTTTTTTTCCCGGCTGCACTGGGTCTTCATTGGGACATGTGGGCATCTCTAGTTGCAACGCAAGGGCTTAGCTGGCCTGTGGCACGTGGGATCTTAGTTCCCCAACCAGGGATCGAACTCTTGCCCCTTGCATTAGAAGGTGGATTCTTAACCACTGGACCACCAGAGAAGTCCCTCTTATGATGTTTTCTGAGACCCTGATATCCTGAAGCATCTAAGCCCAAACCTCTGAAGTTCTCATCTGGCCAGATGAAGTTATGGTGTCTGTGGGAAGCGGAGGGCACAAAGTTCTTGAGGAACTTGGAAAAACTAGGGTTACTTGTGACCTTCAGGTAGAAGAGGTGACCTCTGCATTTCTAGCTGAGCCATAATTTAGCAAACTCCAAGAAGGCTATCTGAAGAGCTCTTCTAATAAAGCATTAGGGTTAGTCACTTGGTCAAATGATTCTAATTAAGTAAACTAATTAATTTTGTCTGTACTGGGTCTTTGTTGCTGTGTGCAAGCTTTCTTCAGCTGCAGCCAGTGGGGGCTACTTGTCATTGCAATGCAAAGGCTTCTCACTGTGGCGGCTTCTCGCCTTGCTGAGCACAGGCTCTAGGCACACAGGCTTCAGTAGAAGGCTACTCCCTGTTGGGCTTAGTTGCCCTGGTGGTAGGTGGAATCTTACCGGACCAGGGGTCCAACCAAGCCCCCTGCATTGGCAGGCAAATTCTTATCCACTGGACCACCAGAGAAATCCCTATACTGCTGTTTTTTTTTTTTTTAATTTATTTCTTTGACTTCGTCGGGTCTTAGTTCCCTGACCAGGGATCGAACCTGGGCCCCCTGCATTGGAGGTGCAGTCTTAGCCACTGGATCCCCAGTAAGTCCCTATGCTGCTATGTTAAAGCAGATGAATATTCAGGTATGTTAAAAATCAGCCCCTGGATTCAGACAGACTTGGGAGCAGCCTCCCTACAATCTGCCCTCCATTTACAGCAAAGGTGGGGGCAGGAAGTGACGCAGAGAAAACCTCTGCGCTACTTGAGCTGAGGATGCTGTTCTTTACCTACTGCCTTTAAAAAAAAAGTTGAGGTTCCAGGGGAGAAACCTGTCAGGGTCAGGGACCACCGTGATTCTCTGAGGGGACAGGGACACTGAATCCTGTTTCCCTTTCTCTCATTGTCATAGGACACTCATAGTCAGGCTGGTGACCCACATATTCAAGAACAGCAGGCCGCCTTACAGTGCTCTTCTGTCTTCCACTTGTTTCCTGTCCTTATTTTAAGAGTCCAGAAATACACAATATTATTGCATTGTGTGAATTTATGTCTTTATCTTAAAATTCCTTTTGCTTGAAGGCTTAGTTCAGTTCAGTTGCTCAATTGTGTCCCACTCTGCGATCCCATGGACTGCAGCATGCCAGGCTTCCCTGTCCATCACCAACTCCCAGAGCTTGCTTAAACTCATGCCCGTCGAGTCAGTGATGCCATCCAACCATGTCATCCTCTGTTGTCCCCTTCTCCTCCTGCCCTCAATCCTTCCCAGCATCAAGGTCTTTCCAGTGAGTCAGTTCTTCACGTCAGGTGACCACAGTTCAAAAGCATCAATTCTTTGGCGCTCAGCTTTCTTTATAGTCCAACTCTCACATCCATACATGACTCCTGGTCAAACCATAGCTTTGACTAGACGGACCTTTGTTGGCAAAGTAATGATGTCTCCACTTTTTAATGTGCTGTCTAGGTTGATCATAGCTTTTCTTCCAAGGATCAAATGTCTTTTAATTTCATGGCTGCAGTTACCATTGGCAGTGATTTTGGAGCCCAAGAAAATAAAAGTCTGTCACTATTTCCATTGTTTTCCCATCTATTTGCCATGAAGTGATGGGACCAGATACCATGATCTTAGTTTTTTGAATGTTGAGTTTTAAGTCAACTTTTTCACTCTCCTCTTTCATCAAGAGGCTCTTTAGTTTTTCGCTTTCTGCCATAAGGGTGGTGTCATCTGCATCTCTGAGGTTATTTATATTTCCCCTGGCAATCCTGATTCCAGCTTGTGCTTCATCCAGCCCAGCATTTCGTACTCCTTTCTCAATTTTGAACCAGTCTGTTGTTCCATGCCCCGTTCTAACTGTTGCTTCTTGACCTGCATACAGACTTCTCAGGAGGCAGGTAAGGTGGTCGGGTATTCCCATCTCTTGAAGAATTTTCCACAGTTTGTTGTGATCCACACAGTCAAAGGCTTTGGCATAGTCAATAAAGCAGAAATAGATGTTTTTCTGGCACTCTCTTGCTTTCTTGATGATCAAAGCGATGTTGGCAATTTGATCTCTGGTTCCTCTGCCTTTTCTAAA